TAAAAAGGTATATTTTGTATCATAAAAAAATCTATTTTAAGTAAAGAAATAGCTAAGTTTTTTTTTATAATATCTATAGCTATCATAGATTACCTAAAGATATTACTTTGGATAGAGGGACTCAATTTGTATTAAGGTTTTAGAAGATTCTTTTTAAGATTTTAAAGATAGATATAAAACTATCTTTAACTTTTTATCTTTAAAGTATAGATAAGTTTTTTATATGTATGCCATAAGATTAGCTTATTTCACAAGCTACTAATACTTGTGACATTTGACTATTTTTTTAGCCAAGTTGCTAACCTATCAATCAACTACAAAAATGTATAAAGTCAAATATGCATCTATAAAGCTTCTAAGAAGTTGTGCCATGAGATAATATCAAATCTACTTGTATTTATCTTTTAACTAATACTTCTTATCTATGTAAATATATATGTTCATGACAACCCCAAATTGGGCTAAGGTCTTGTTCAATCTAATTTTGAAGGTAAAAAATAACATATATTAGATGAAGATATTGTCTATTTTTTTTTATTTATATTACTTTTATAAATTTAAATGGCTCTTCATCAAGATAGAAGAAGAAGAGTAGATTAAAAAAAAAAAACAAATGGCTTAATATTTTGAAGATGTGATACTATTGGAAGAAGAAGATGAAAGATCTTAGTTAGAAGACAATAGGAAATAAAAATTAGATACATTCTCAAGATAATAAGGTTTTTAAAATAAGTAAAAAAAGATGCTACTCTTCTATCTAAATATGAAAAAAAAGCAAAGCATTAAGATATACCACATAAATCAATGTTGTATTATAATATACCTAACATGTAAAAGAAATAAGAAAACATTATATTACAAAATATCTTATTTCAAAATATCTTATTTCAAAATATCTTATTTCAAAATATAATAGCAAATTATCTTAAAAATATAGATAATAGTTAAGAAAGTAATAAAACTAATAAATTATTAATGTTACATTTTTACAAAATGAGCTTTTATTTATTTTTTATGACCATCAAAATAAAAAATAAATAAAAAATGGGATAAATTTAAATTTTTAGGACTTAGATAGGATTTGGTGCAGAATTGATTTTAAGTAATTTGGATTAAATTTTAAATTTCTAAAACTTTTTAAAATAAATGGGATTTTAAGTAGTTTGGATTTTTAAAAAATAAGATAGAATTTACATATTTAAGATTTTGTGAGCATTTTAGCATAACGGTAGATAAATTTTTTAGACTTATGCATCTATTTTTATCAATTTGTTTTATGAATTTTAAGTTAATTTAATAATTACATTAAAGATTATTTAAACTCAACTAAATTAAAGTTTTGGAATTTAGATTTTAAGGGCGAATAAGAATTTCTTTGAATTTGGATAATTTGCCAATTGGATTGCAGCAATTTTAGTGAAAAAAATTTAAACTTTATTTTAAGAATTTCACTAATTTTGAATTATAACAAATAGTTTAATAAGAATTTATTGGTACTAGAATATCAACATCTAGATTAGAGAAGGAGGGCAACCAACATTCAAGCCATTAAGGAGTTTTTTCTTTCAATCTATAAGCTAGATTCTCCTTTAAATTATTGTGTTTCTTTTTAATTATTAGATTAAAATATATACAATATTATAAGTAACCTCAATGATTCAATTAATATTTATTGAAATTTTAATATTGCCAAAAGGATTAGTTAAAGTTAATCAAGATTTTATTATGGTTTATAAGATATCTTTAGAATTTTATTAGGATTTATTAAAATTTATTTAAGATTTCATTATAATTTAATTAGGATTTATTTTATTTTATTAGGATTTATTTAGGATTTAAATAAGTTTTAATTAATATTTTATTAAAATATTTTTTTAGAATTTATGTAAAAACTCTTTAAGATTTCTTTATAACTTCTTTAAAAAAAATCGGATTTTTTTTGTCATTTCTTTATAAACTCTTTGTCATTTCTTTAAGAACTCTTTGATGCTATTTATGAATTATTTAATGATTTTTTTAAATATTTCTTTAAGATTCTTTAAGATTTAATTAAGATTTAACTATAATTCTTAACCTTAAAATTATTTTTTTTTATAATTTTTTTTACTAAGTTTGTTAGGTTCTTTGTTTGTTGCAAATGTAATTTAACTTCTACAATTAAATACCTAATTCATTTCTAAGTTAGTTTTCACATAATATAATAATATATAATTTTTAAGCTCTCTAAAATTCTCTATGGGTTCAAACAATCTCCAAAAATATGTTATAAGAAAACATATGAATACTTTGCCTTACAAAGTTTAATGAATAGCCATGCATTTTTAAATTTTAAATTTTTAATGAATGATAATGGAATCATTATTATTATGTTCAATATAGATGACTTTATTTTAGTTTGCAACAACAAAGGCCTTCTTTTAAAGTTAAAGAGTCACTTAGCAATAAGATTTCAAATAAAAGATTTGAAAGAAGTCCATTATATCTTAGGCATGCAAATTGCAAGAGATTGAAAAAATTTTATGATTAACGTGAGTCAATAGAAGTACTTAGAGAACATATTTAAAAGGCTTAGCATAAAATACCACAAATCCTTGGCTACACCTTTAGATTCTTATAACAAATTTTTAAGAGATATGAGTTGTCACATTATTAAAGAGATTAAAGCAATGAAGGATGTTCTATATCAATGTGTACTTGATATTTAGTATAAGCAATGAAGGATGTTCCATATCAATGTGCACTTGATAATTTAGTATAAGCAATGATAGGCACTTGAGCTGATATTATATATGTAATAGGAGTTGTTAGCTAATATATAAAAAATCCTAGGCTACAATATTAGATAGCTATTAAGTAGGTTTTATAATATCTCAAAGGTACATTCTTTGAGTTTGCAAGTAATTAGATATTGCAATGCAAATTATATTGGAGATATTGACACAAGACAATCTACTACTAGCAATATATTTTTGTTAACTGATGATGCAATCAATTAGAATAGCAAGAAGCAAACAATAATTATATTATCTACTATTAAAGCAAAGTATATGACAACTACTCATGCATCAAAAGAATCAATTTTACTTTGTAAATTCTTTGAAGACATTGAAATTTCACTAGACAATCCTATGACTATTTTTTTTAATAATAACCAAAGTTGCATTTTTATTTCCAAGAATCCTACATTCTAGGCTTGTACTAAGCATGTTAAAATTCAATATAATTCTATTTGTAAAAGTTTTAGGATGGTAATATCAAGTTAGTTTTTTGGAAGACTTAAGATATAGTTGTAGATGTTTTAACCTAAAGTATAACTTGTGAAAAGCATTGAAAATTCAAAGAGATAATGGAAATTATCAACTTAAGTTAGTTTAATATGTCATTAAGTGGGAGTGTTAAAAGATTATTTATATACATTGTTAATTTTTATTAGACATTATGTAGATGGTTGATAACTAGCCATATATCATGAACATTAGTTAATACATAGTTAAATAGCTATCATAATTGTCATAGCCATTGTAGTCTACTATGTTGTTATGTGGTCTAATAAATCAAATATCTACATATTATTAGTTGGACTAATTATTAGTATATTTGTATCAGGAAGTCTATGTTGTTAGATCGTGGACTTATGCTATATAAGAACTTAGGTGTGAGGTTTATTTTAAGTAGTTTTAGTTCTCTTTTCTTCACATAGTTGTACTTCTATCTTTAAGCAATAGAAGCCTCATCTTTTTATCACAATTAATTCATAATTTATTTTTTAATATGTTTTTAAATTAAAAATATAATATATAAGAAATAACATAGTTTATATATAATGGAAATTAAAACCTTATATTTATAATTTATAAATTTTAATAACATACATAACATATTTGTGGTAAAGTATTTTTTATTTTTATTTTTATTTTTGTTTTGGTTCTATTAGTTTAAAGAATTTAAATTGAAAATCACATGCAAAATTACTAAAACAAATCTTCAATAGATTAGATTCCATATTTAAGAATCAAAAGGATTAAACAAACTAAGAATATAATTTTAATATTTATTTAAATAAGTTACAATATTTAGAATATATGGTATAATAAGAAGAAAAATTAAATAAATATTCATTGATAAACTTTTTATGGTATTAATAGGAATATTATTGTTTGAATCAATATACAAGAATTTTGTGTATAAATTAAAATAAAACCAAAGATCATAATGTATAAAATATATATATATATATATTCAAATTGATAAAAAAATTATTTATAATTATCATTATTATTGTTTTTCTAAAATCATGAGCAGCCATCTTAAAAAAATTGAAGCAACTAGAACAAAGTTAAAAACTTCTTTCTTATACATTATTTCACAACCAACCATTGTAGCAAACAAATCAAATAGAATTTTAAAAAATCTTTCCATAAGTAGAATCCTTTGTTTATATGTATATATATATATATATATATATATACGAGAATGTTAAATAGATTCAAGTTTTTATTAAATCAACCTATCCATTCTAACCATCATAAAAAAAATAATGACCTTTAGATTTATTTTCCTACTATTGGGTCTGCAATCAATAAAAACCAACTACATTCATGAGGATTATCATATTCTTCATCAAGAATAGATCTATTTAGTAAAAACATAGGTTTATTTAACATTCCCCTATTAATGTACAACATCAAACACTTAAGTTAAACGCAAAAACACTCAACCGTTACAAAAACGAAAACGAGCTCATTTTCAAAGGTCGGGTCCTTCTCTAAAGAAAACCCACGTCACCAAACAGAAAAAGGTGACGTGGACATGAGGAGGAGGGGGGGGGTGGGATTGGCGTGGAGGGATTCAGTTTCATTCGCAAGAAAAAGCCCGACGGAATCCCGCATTTGGAGCGGGACGTCCGTCACTCGTCGATTGGTGTGAAGATGAGTGGCCACTCTCGCTTTTGCTCCTCCCCCTCGCTCACTCGCTCTCTCGATTGCGTGTGTCCAAAAAGGCTCCTTTGCTGTGACTTGGCCACGGAGTTTATGACAAGGGCAGGCCTAACAATGGAGTGAAGGGGCCAAACAGAATCGAGAGCACTGGCATTCCCTGCGCGGATTCCAGCTATCCACTAAGCATTCTCAGAATCTGCCTAGCGCGCTCGCAGGAATTCGTTACCAGCAGGTGACGTCGCGTTTGCTTGCGTAGGTGTGTGGACGATTGGGTCAACTTCATTAGCAATTCCGTGCTCCGCATTCGGTTGTGATTTGGTGGTCTATTTTGGGGTGGGATTCTGCTTCGGAGTCTGACATTCGGAGGTTGTGATTTGTGACACTGATCAGAGTCGGTTTTAAGGCTGTTGGTTTTTGCTGTTGTTGATGTTGTTGTTGCTGGAGTTGAGTTGCGAAGGAGGGATTGGAGTTGGTTTCTGTGGAGTAGCGGGTATGGACGTTGCAGCTGGAGTGTGGGCTGTGAGGATTGCTGGGTTGGTGGTTCCCATGGTTAGTGAGGCGTGTGTTGGTTTGTCAAATTTTTCGTTTTGTACGGGGAGTTGTGTGGTCGTGAACATTTTGGTTGTAGGCTGTTGTCGGATTCGAGGTTTTAGGGCAAGATGAAGCTACTTGCGTAGCATCTCCTCATTGTTTCGACAGTCTGCAGTCTCTGGAACCTCGAAACAAGGAAATACGTCTGTTGCAGGTTCTGGAAAGTGAATTTGACTCTACGAGGGTTCACGAAGAGTTTCGAATTTTGACATGCAACGGGAGTCGTGTCACATGAAACTTGCAATATCTTTACTGTTTCTATGAAGGGTGTTGTTTACTCTAGGATTTTAATGTGCAAGTATTTTTGTTGTGCTCATGGGTGCGAGGCAAATTTTCACAACTTCGCAATTTCTGCCTAACATGATTAATAGATTGAATTACTGGGATTCAAAGTCATACCTGGAGGTTGTCCATCTTCAACCACCATTTGTTACAGTATTTTGAGATGAGAATGTAAAAGTCTTGTCTGTTGGGCATTGCCGAGGTAGGAGTGCACTGCCTATTGCTTAGTCTCTTTATGTGACTTGGAATTCAAATTATTCGCGCCGTTATTCCTGTGTTACACGCTTTCCTTACAACAAATATTTCTAGTACTGTCACTTCGGAAGACGGGCTGAGGTGTAGCCGCTGGCAATCTCTTATCTTTATCGTCTCTTTGATAGACTCATGGCTGTTGCGTTCTTAAGGATGCGCTTTGCAGTATTTTGCAGACTTTCAATCTGGAGCTTTGCTGTAAGATTTTCATGGTCACGCCGGAGCGATTACAATACCTGAACGCTGGAGGCTTGTTTAGCTTTCATCGATCATTGAGCAGTTGAGCTGAAGCTGGCATGCTTATGGGTTCAACATGGAACTGCAGTGCAGGAGCGCTGCATTTGCCAAGCGCAGGGATTCATGCAGCTGTTTGCCAAGGGAGTAGGCAGTGTGGTGAGTGTGAAGTTAGACAGCCCATTATTGGTCTTGGAGAGGGCCACATTTTTGCCTACTCCTCTCACAGCGGAAAGATATCCACAACAATAGACTGCAGGTTGAGATCGTCTGTGCAGAATGGCGGAATTTTGGCATCCAGGAGGAAAATTAGGAAGAGATCGCTCAACTCTCAATCTGATTATGGAAACAGCTTGGGAGCTTTCACTGTGCGTGATGGTATTTGCAAACTAGGATGCTTGAACCTTGGATGGTCGCAGAGGTTCACTTTTAGCTCGATTCATGCGCACAACAATAATAGCTCTAAAAACACATCTTCGGAGAGCCCCCGATTTGATCGTGAGGAAGATGCAGACCGTGACTCAAGCCATGTCTTCCAAGACCTTGGCAAGCAAACCAACGCAGAGGATCAGTTTGCCGGAGATCAATATCAGGCTAACATGTGGAATGGAGGATCTAACGACGGCAGTGCCACAGACAATAATGGACACTACCAGAAATTGTCAAGTACCGTTTCGAATGCATCCGACCTTTTCCGTGAAGAGAAATACACGGATGATGAAGAAGATACATTTGGGGACAGTGCAGATAATGAAAATGGTGCAGGGTATGAGTCATGGAGCGAGGAAAGTGAGCCTAGCTCAGACAACGGTAGCTCTGGAAGTGTGGGATCTGCAGCTGACTCCTTAGCCATTGGAGGAAAGGAGCCTGTTTACCAGGTAAGAGCAAGTTGCTGTATGCAAAGAAGTTCGTTTTAACCAGTGCTCTTAATTTTTTTATATTTGGAACTCGTCAGAGCTTACGCTTCGGCAATCATTGGTGTTGTAGGTGCTCGAAATTCACCCTGGTGGAAATGTTAATCAACGGGAAGTCAGTAGAAGGCAATTGTTGAGAAGTATAGGTGAGTAGACTTTACAATGCCCTTCTGCCATCCTTGCCTTGTGAATTTACTATTCTTGCATTGCTTGTACTCTGGTAACATAGCTATACTTGCTGAAGGTTAATGCGTACTGGACATTGACTTGTGACAGCTGGGTTACGTCTACGGGATATTCGTAGTGTTGATCCGTCATTGTGGGTCACCAACTCAGCGCCTGCCATTCTGGTCAGTGGAGGTGTACTTGCATCCCGGTCTTCTGAAAGTTCCATGTGGATAGATTAATTTCAGTTTTTTCATAAAAAATTTAAACTGTCTATTTGTTGGTCTACATTTTAACGGAGCATCGCAAGTGGTTTGCACATGCTCCAATTGTCATGCGTAATGAACTTGATTCTGAAGCGCGTGTGAGCTCTGAATCTGCCTGTGATGTATGACAGGTAAGGGACCAGGCTATCCTCCTCAATTTGGGTTCGCTGAGGGCAATAGCAACATCTCAAAATGTCCTAATATTTGAGCACAAAAGGTGAGTTGTAAATTCTTCCTGATGCAAAGCTATTGCAAAGTAAACTTGAGGCGCTGTACTTTTTTCCTACGTAAAAAGATTCTCTTATTTAGGTATATTCGTGGTGATGACATTGCCCTGGCTTTATCGTCGTGAATTTATAGTATTGGAGCTGAAGCATTTATGGCAGCACTACTTCCGCGTCTTCGGAATAGCAACGGTCACGGTCCGATTATGCCTTTCGAATTGGAGGTAATATTTTGCCAAATCCTTTTCTGTCCCAAATGTTTTTCTGCGAGTGTAAGTGGATGGTTCACATTGTGCATATGCTCCCCTTTTTTTCCCTCTCGATCTTGGCCTTTCTGTGGTTTCAGCATTCACTCAAGAATCCAATTGTTGAATGTTTACCTGTTAATAATTAAAGTGCATTGTCATACATTTCACTTTTGAGATTAGTTCTAAGATGCCTGATTTCCACAGTTATCTGCTTGATAAGACCAGGTTGTTGAGGCCGCTCTTATTTCAAGAACTCAGCGGCTAGAACGAATGCTCATGGATGTTGAGCCAAAGGTGAATTTTTGTTTGTGATTAACGAGGAAAAGCTAATGCCTGATAGTTACGTTTTACAGAGATAATGTTCTTAACATTTATTTGAAAGATTCTAGGGACATGCATCCAGTTAACTTCACATGATTTGTATCTCAGAAGTACGTATATCGGGATTAAATAGAGAGTGGTGCTACAATAAAGTTTACTACGGATCACTTATTCTTGTTCAATTTCTTATGCCTCTAAACTGCTCAAGTGTCTGTGTGGTACTTATCTCTAATCGTGACAATACTTCATGGACTTTGGCATACACATGTTCGTAGGTGATGGCTTTGTTGAAGGTGCTTCCAATTCGTTACACAGCTGATGTTCTGGAGGAACTTCGCCTTGGAAAGCAAGCGCTGGTATGCCTCTGGATGGACTCCATGTTCTGTTTGATCTTTGGTCAATATTGCTGAGCTAATGAGAGTCGATTCAAATTGAAGGAAAAACTTATTCAAAATCATCTGCTTAGTCCTGCTTATCGCGAGGTGGTTTCAGGTGGAATTAGCTGCAAAGGCTGGTGCTTTGCGTCAAATGCTTCTGGAGATGCTCGAGCATCCGGAGGATATCCGGAAAATGACTATCATGGGACGGACATGCAATATTCGGAAGGCAGATGGCTCCATTGAATGCGTAGTAGATGTGGACAAAAAGATTGCAGAAGGTGATATTCTAGCCGTGTTTTTTATATGTTTTATGGTTCCCATGTATCCATTGGTTAGGATACACTGACAACGTTTCTTTGTTTCGTAATAACATAAACAAGCCATGTTTCTTGACTCGCATGTGTTTTCATGTCTGCAGATGAGGAAGAGGAAATTGAAATGCTTCTGGAGTACTACCTTCAAAGGTTAGTGTTATCCTGAATGTCAAGTGATAATCTGACTTTTAGTTATAGGTGATTGAAGTAAGTAAAAGATGAAGAACCTTGAAGACGTAATTTGTTCGCAGAGCTGAGTAGTTGCAATTACAATGTAATCTACGCTAGTTCACTTCTGCCACGTAAAACCTTTCCTTCTAACAGGTGCGATTCATGTCACGGTCAAGCTGAGAAGTTGCTGGATGCTGCCAAAGAGATGGAAGATTCTATTGGTGTTAACTTGAGGTTTGTCTTCAGTTGTTGAATCATTGGATTAGTTTGATGTGTTTTTTTACCTACTATTAGTACCACCAATTTTATGTGCAAAGCAATTAGTACTGTACTTCACCTTCAAGTAGCAAGAGGAACCTGTGAGTGCGGATGTATTAAGGCGAGACATGGCGGTGTTGCAGTTCAAGGCGTCTTGAGGTGAGCCGATTGGAGCTGTTGCTCCAAGTGGGCACATTCTGCTCTGCTCTAGGAGCTCTCGTTGCAGGTAATAATCCCTTTATACGCTCGCTTCTCAATTAATTAATTAGTTAATATTTTTCCTAAAGGGGTCCCTTGTGTGAAGATTATTGTTGTAGTTGCCAGGAACCTAATTCTCTGGTCTATGGTTTCTTTCAGTGCTGATCAGTCTTCTCTGGAAAATACAGGAATCTTTGGTATGAATCTCAAGTCCTACTTGGAAGAGCATGTGGTAAGTTCACCCTGCACGTGATGAATGTTTCAGACCCGTTTTCTTTTCTTTTCTTTTCCTTCATACTTTTAATGTTTAATATGTTCCCCCCACAAATTTTTCAGCATCAAATTTTCCAACCCAGCAATTGTTTATTCGCAGAGGGCATTCTACTACACAACAGCCGGCATTGTTTTCGGAGGCATTGTCTTGTTCATAATCATGTTAAGATACCTCAAGTCTCGAAGGATATTGTGACAAGGCTTACCGTTAAGCCCATGCCTCTTTATATCTCTTTATGTTTCATCCACATCGGTTGTATATTCTATTCACTGAATGCATAGTTAGAGTTTTGACAGCGTGTTCAGATTCAAATGTGAGATTTGCAATAGTTTTGGAGCTATGATAAAGTTATTTTTTTATCAGAACTCGACCTGAGTATCACCGAAGACCATGGACCTGGAATGAAATGCCGACTGCCAGTGCCATGGCTCACATCTAACTTGTCATTTTTGTAAATTGCCACTGTGAATGTTTCTGCTGCTATGTTCTACACAAATGCTCTTTCTGCGCTTTCAATGACCTTGAAGACCAAGCAAGGTGCTTCCTCCCATTGCTTTTCACCTTGTTTTTTGTGTCTATTTGTGCCCCTCTCCACAGGATCATGTGGCTGCCTCCCTCAGAGGAACTTGACTCGATTCTTATTGGAATTGCCTTCGGGTCTATGTCGTAGAAATTGAATATGCCGCTCCGACTAAGTAGTGAGTAGGACAAAGTTTCACCGTTTTTAAGTGAAGAACTTGATTCTTAGGTTCAATGAAGATTTTCATTTTGAGCTTACACACTTCATCATTCAACTTCGGATAATTCTTAATACTTTTTGCATCTTTCCTCTTTTTCCCTTGGGCATCTTTGCAAAAATGTGCTGCGTAACATCCCATGGTGGGTTTTCAATTTCTTACTTTTGATGTCATGAGATGACGTAGTTGCATCTATTTAAGAAGTATTTTCTGGTTGTTTTCATAGAAGTTATAAAGACATGAAAAGATGTGTTATTTGTGTATGAGTTACTAGGTTGAGATGTATTCAAATAGTCAAGGAATGAATTTCAGCGATGATAAAAAAAATATATCAAAACTTAATAACATTGAAAATGATCTTGCGCAGGATTATGATGACAGCTTATTAAATGTATGACTCCAATTTTGATAACTTTACACGCACTGGTCACGATTATAAAAACATGTTTTAAAAAACATCTGTGAAACTTACTTCAATAAGTCAAACTTTTGCTAAAGCTGACAAGGCATGTTGTTAATCAATGTCAAGGTTCAAAAACAATACAAATTGTGACTGAAGAAATCATAAATGCAGTCGACAATGCATATGTGTGTAAGTGTTCAAATAGTGGATAACTAGACGTGTAACACTTATATATATATATATATACACACAGAAAAACATATCACGGAATCATTCTACAACATTCCAATGTAGAAATAATAAAGAAAGGAATAAAATAAATAAAATCAACGTTGCGGGGACAGCAAAAAAGTGGGAATTCTGGCAACTTCAATCTCAAGGCAAAAATAGTGGTTGATGTGGTTCATATATAGAATATGTATTAAACAAATGACATTCATCCCATCAAAACACTCAACAAGTGTGAGATGCAAAAAAGTTCATGCATTGGTTACGTCAAAATACTTAAAATTACAAGAATATAATAGACTCCCTGGGACAAGTATACAATACAAGCGAACGAACGATGAGAGAACGATCGTTCCGAAGAGGACGATCGGAAGGAGATTGTCGTGGAAGGAAGTGTGAAGCTGGGAACCCGCAAAGGAGGCGAGACTCACCCGGCCAATCGAGCCTCTGCGCGATGGCAACGACGATCGAAGCACCACATTATCTCGATCGCATCACGTAGACATCGTCACTCAGTCATGGATTCTGTCATCCTGGAGACAAAACACATTCGGTGCAATTCTGAGGCAAGATCTGCGGCTTCTGAACTAGCGCCGCTCACTATGCCATGCACGCTGTTGGAGTACTGCATTCTGACCATGAATGGTATCGCAAGCTCCTAGGATTTCGAAATGAGGCGTTACTCAGTTTGAGAATGGAAAATGGTCATCTTTTCAACTCCTGTGCGTTTACATTGTGCGAATGTGTAGTGCGCTTGTTGTGGAACATTCTTCTATGAGTGGCGACGAGATCGATCGATGGCGGGATGGAAATTCTCGCATAGGATGCTATACCCCTCAACTATTGTCGCTAATTGTAGATAACCGTTGCGCACATGCCAGAGTGCTAGCTCATGCTCACGTTTTCACAGTTATGTTTGAACATCGTCGAAAGTATGTCGGCGTAATTTTTGAGAACTTGATCTTCAACAATGTGTGGCACAAGGAAGTTGAATGAAGGAACAAGTTTTGGAAATCCTCAAAGGTCCACGAAGGGGCCATTCCATTGGGTAATCGAAGAATGGGTTATACGAGACACATATACATAAGAACGAAACGACTCTCTGAGTTGAACATAACACGAAGAATCGATGCTGGTAAAGCATTGTCAATGTATTATAGAAAAGTGGTTCCACCGACAAGATTGGCAAGTTTTCGAGCATGATAGCAATCATGCTCTGGATTCGACCACTGTCGATCGTTAGAAATGATGATAAATGTCAAAATCCACAAGGAGCTTTATAACAAGGAGCAATACATGGAAGTTCCTCTAACACGAACTTCCCTTGCTAATCCATTCTACAGCTGAGTTTTTTTTTTTTTTTTTTTTTTTTCCACAGAACGCGCTGCTACAGATACAGGTGCACTAGTTTTCTTAAAATTCATAAAACAAAAGCGTGTCAGAAGTTCAGTTCAATCTCAACAACACCGGACTAGATCGCCGCTAGCAATCGGACACCAGACTGACACACCCCAATCATGATCAGTGGGGCTTTTCGCCGATCCAATTACCTGGCGGATCGTAGCTACAGATAATGTAAATTCCATCATCCGAACACATCTCCGAAGCGCAACCAACATGTGTGGTCGTATTCCACACCACTTGCGTATAGTGCCCGCATACTTTGTTCGGTGCGCAAGTATTAGTATTGTAGTTATAATCCACCTTCTCATCATTCCACGCAGTGACCGCTTCGAATGGTGTCCAATTCTGCCCCGACCCCCAGAACAGATTCTCCCCGTAATTCCCATTCGAGTGCGTCAAAGGGAGGCAACTGTCACGCTGACTCTGCGCGTAGCTGCGTGCATAATCTTCAAGCTCTTTGCTCCAAACCAACGCATCGACACCCACATCCTTCCGCGCATTGTTGTGCGGAGTCAAGAACTCTTGTTGGACCGCAACACTACTTTGGGCGGCGGCGAAGAAAATCATATCCGCAAACACTGTAAGAGCAATGATCACTACAATCTTGCGGCCCCAAGGCTTCAGTCCTTCAAAAGCACCCATTCCGACCACAACCTGCTAAAAACGAATCCCACTGAACGAAGACTCGGATTGCTGAGATTGTGAATCTGAAACCTTGTCCGCATGGTTTTTTATAACTTGCGAGGAGTGAGATGAGACAAGATTGAGCGACTGTACACTGTAGTAGGCCATGAACATCCCTCCCCACCCTCCGCATTCGCAAGTTTGGACGAGCCTTAGGCACGTATACTTGGTTATTCGTCATCGGCAGAGCTCCTTCGAAGTTTAGTTTGGTGAGGGAAGGTTAAGAATCCTGAAATCAAGCACCAAACGGCGGAGGTCCACTCCATGTCCAGAATTTTTTAACTTCAACTGGTTCAATACCAGATGTCGACGTCAGCTATCAACAGGGGTGGGTTGGAGAATGATCTCACGGCAGTAGGCGTCTCATTAATGTTGCGGAGGCCGATGGTGACATGAAGATGAGAAGTTGCCATGTTCAGGGGTGAGATAACGTCGAAAAAATTCTGGACCTTTTCGGACGCATACACGGCGAAAAGTACTTACTCCGCTAGGGGCGGTTCAGACTTTGTTGCATGTACACGAAGGATTTAATCGCTAGTTTCTTTTTGACAGAGCTCCATGTAGCACGCGTTTACGTGACTTATACCTCATTCTTCTAGGTTGGATTCAGTCAACAGCTGCCAACAAGCTTTTGGACGATTTTCCATGAAATAGAGATTCTGCTGTTGAGAAGGGGACTACATTACCAAAAGAAGGAACTACTGACGCTGCAATCCACAAGAGAAAAAGGGTGCACGTCCGCACAGCACATACGTCACCAGTGGACAAATGCTTCAATCAACTATGGTCGATATCCACACTACACTTCCACAACGCAAGAGAGAAAATGCGAGGAATCACTCTAATCTATTGGATCCACTCTTAACATGCTTAATCGTACTTGACCTAACTAAAGGCAATTACACCCCCATTCGGATTACTGGGCAAAACTTTGTCAAAAAGCTGCAGCAGCAGTCCATACACTACACTGGTTGATCGGTCGTTGTCAAAGGTCGCATGAGATGCAATCGGCCCCATCCATCACAACCAGAAACCCATCTCCGTCGAGATCAATCAACCCCCAGCGAGAGATTCAGTGAACTTTTTTTTTTTATCGCACAGAATGTCGCAGCACCAACTTAACGCGCTCGGAGCGCCCCGATCTCTTTCTCTCGACCTCTCTACAGCGAGTCCAGTTTCAAAGCACGACTGGAATCCTCCTCCTCCTCCATGAAGAGACGGGGTGAGGAACTGGGAGTAGGTGAGAGTTGCTCCGTATCAGCCAAGGATCATTCCTCCGGCGCACTGGTGCAGGGACACTCACCGCGCCCGCTTGGCGGTGCGCGTGACGCCGGGCGACGCGGTGGGGGCCACGTCGCCGCGCCGCGCCGAGGCGTCCTCTCGCGGCACTTCCATCGCGCCTATCGCCGTGGCGACCGCTGGACGCTGGGTGCGATGCGGTCGCCTCAGTGTGGATTCTCACAATATTAGACTAGAGAGATTTTCGTTTGCTTCTCCATGTACCCACGTTCTCTGCAACTATCTTGGATTTCACTTCTTGTGCCTCAATCGAACATTGACCTTTAATCATTTTACACTATTGTGTTGAATTTATTTTCTTTAAACTAGGTCATTAAGTTACCAAACTATATATATATATATATATATATATATAATAATTTTTTTAAAAATTAAGTAGACATGTATGTGTGTATGTATGTATATGTATTTTTTGCAGTTGAGTTTTTAAGAAATAAAAAAGTCATGGCTTATAGTTTCTTTATTCTCTCTTTAAATGTAAATGAAGTGATAAATAATTCAATTTTTAAATATTGACAAATAAAAACATTAGTTATTGAAAGTTGTAACAAAAATTATGGCTTAACAAATTTCATAACTTAACAAATGATATTTCATTTTAAAATTGCACTATTAATTTGTACAAAGCTATTGTTTTTAAAGCACAAGACTTTAGCACAAGTTGACAAGAACCAAGTTGTTTGGAAACAAACAAAACAATATGTTGCACTTTGATTACTAAGATCTAAGGACTAATTTGAATTCAAACAAAGAAAAAAAATCATAAATATATCAAATTTTAATATATTTATTCAAATTCACTTAGACTTTTCTTTCAGCTAAAGGTATGGGTCCTACAAGCAACCTATATCATACATAATATTATTGTTAAAAAGAGAATCATATCTTTAGAAACATTTTTAGCAAGCATGATCATAATGATCAAGTTGTACAAATTAGTAGAATATTTTTGGGTTCAATGCCAAGAAAATCACACCATTATTAAAATGTGGATTCATTAATATATCAAATAGAAACATGTATCATTGTAACAACATAATTGAATATTCTTGAAAAAAATAAGCTGCCATTTTTATGAACTTATACTAAAAATAGTATGATTATAATGCTCATTTATGATCTTGATTTTGCAAATATTATTTGCAAACTCTAAGATGAATTTTAAAATTTTTATTACATATATTATTAGAATAGAAAATTGATTAGAAAGAAATCTAGTTATCTATCTTTTATACCAAAAATTATCCTAATTTAGAGAATTTGGATATATCTTATGCATTGACACATGAACACTTTTTGTTGCATATTGTGAATATAATGAGATTAATAAAGCATAATGATAAATATTAAAAAATGTTAACTTAGTATTAATTTTTTTTATTTTTTTAGCATATGCAATTATATATTGCATTTTGGTTGCAAATATCTTTTGAAAATATCATGATATTTTTAGAACTTTTTTAAAATTTTAATAGATTTATTATATTTTTTAAAACAAAGCACTCTAAACATGAAATTGATTAGCTTACAACTAATTTTTGTTATTATAAGATGGTAGAAAATGGTTATTCGATTATTACCTTCACAAGATGCAATTCTTTGAACAAAGTTCATGCACATTATAGATTTTTATATTATTTTATTATTTATTTAATTATCTTTTTATTTAAAATAAATCTTTTAGTATGATTGAGAATTCTTTACTTTGAATGTGTACTTTTTATATAATATACTTCTAAAAAAATTAAAAGTTACAAAAATATATGTATATATATAAGAATATATATAAGAATACTTATATATATATTCTACATAAGTATTTGTACACACCAAAATCTAAAACTTAAACCAAGTTTATCTTCTAAAATTCAAAATCTAAATCTTAAATCCTAAACAAGAACCTATTTTCTTCTTTTACCACATTTATATATGTGTGTGTATATGTGTGTATATGGATGCTTGTTGAACATGCATATATATAATAATCTTTTATGAATAAATTAAAATGATTGGTTGATCATTTTTGTTTCAAAATAAAAAAAATATTTATATATATACAACTAAATATTAATTTGGAGAAGAAAATAATTAGATTACATATGTAATTGTGCCATATAAAATAAATTCTTTTAAAATATGATTTAATTCGGGATAAAATTTTGGTATTATGAATTTGAAACATAGAAAAGAATGGTTAAAAGAAGATTTGCATAAGGTGTTTATTAAAAATTTGAAAGATATAAGTGATAAAATAATTTTTCACTACCAAAGATTTTCAAATTTTATTAAAATTATAATTGAACATTAGTTTCAATATAGTTTTTAACAAAGAAAAATCAATTGAAACAAATATATATATATATATATATATATATATATGTAAATATAGGATGTTGCTAATGCTGCCACAATTTTTGCTAATACCACCTCAAACTACCACCCACTTTACATATTTTTTTTTATTCTTCTTTTTTCTTCTTTTTCCAATCATTACTTAATGTTTCTATTATGTTCACATTTTTTTTTTCAAATCATGTAAAAAACTTGCATTAATTTTAATTAATAAAAATAAGTTTTGATAGCAGTAGCATAAACTATGATTCATTACCTACACTATAAACACATATGTAATATTTAATTTAATAAAATTGAGCTGATGATAATTATGGATACTAGACAAAAAGAAAATTGAACTTAAAAATAGTAACAGAGAGTATTTTTTTAAATGTCTTAATTAATTTAAAACCCATATTTTAAAATAAAGACCATGAAAGATGAAGGTTATGCAAAAACATCTGAAGAAAAAAAATTTAAATACATTAAAATTGATAGTGGACATACATCAGTAAAACTGGTGGCACACATATAAACACATGCGAGTTTATAAGAGATGGATGATGTGATGTACATGAGTTTCACATTAGAGCAGAACTAAACAAACACGTTTCAATACCTTTTATAGGATATAATCTGCATCATATTTGTAAAATTATTCAAATGAAAGAACCTAATTCATGCTATTGGAAGTACTAATTACAGTGAAGTTGATTTCCCACTTACATCGAAGTCACGATAAATGTTGATATGGTTTGACATGACTAAATAAGAGAGAAACCAAACAATTTAATAAGAAAAATTCGTTCAAACTTGGTTTTGAATATTCAAAAATAGGTTATTAAAACCTTTTGATTTATAATGACCTCTGATTTCTTCCACCTCGAAGACAGTGAGTGTCGCTGGGGAGTCTTACCTACATTTTCGTTATAAAAATTAGCATATACACAAAAAATCTGAAGATTCGTGGCAAATCTTCACGGACAGATTCCGAAGTTGATACAATTGACGAACTCTGAGACTAGCTACTTGCCTACAACCCACATCAACAATCACTTTCTATAGTTCATATTCAGAGAACATAAGTGTCAGCACATCGTCACTGATCCAATTGCGAGACATCACGAAAATCACGATATGGTAGCGCACATGTAGATTAATAATTGGAATTACACACAAGTTCAAAGCATGATATGCTAATATCTCACAAGCCAAAACTATCCCATTGAGGTTATCTAGATGCTCAGGTGGGAGGCCTTTACTAGCTTAAAGGATACCAATATTATTACTCAATCAACAAAATCGGATAACAGCTGAAACGGTACAAATGTCTTGACTGCACCCTTACAAATCTACTGGTGAAGATTAACAGCTCCCGATCTGGATCCGTCCGAGGAGTCTTTCATAACCGGAGTGGCTGAAGACTCTTTGGGAGAATCATGGCGAGCGGCGTCAGCGGTAGACGTAGAGAAAGATGACTGAGTGGTGAACAAGAGAGACACGCGACGGGAGAAATTCTCGAGGGGTTGATTAGCTGAGGCAGAGGAAGTTTCTGCACCATATGAGCTTGCAGAGAGACGAGTTTGACTATGAGGGGAAACACGAGCGCTGTCGGCATGGACATTAGGGTGGAGAGAAGGAGAACGCAGATGCTCAAGACTGCTAGGATTTTGGGCGTCATTACTAGGACCATAAAAGTGGAGAGGGAAAGGAGGGCGACTGGAAGGATCCGAGGTTTGAACCTCAACACCAAGAACGGAGACCGTCTTGGGGGGTACAACATGCAATCCAGACATATGCGCAGTAAGTGAGGAGTCAGATTTCATACCGAGAGAGACAAGGTTGTAGGAATCATTGGAATCAAGAGTGAGGTTGAGGTCGGGAGAACTATTGAAAGGCTTACGAGGTGGCTTATCGACCAGCTTATGAGTGTTGTGTGGCCTCTCAACGTCGATGTCTGTATCCCTCCCTTCCTGAGATGACCGTGAATCCTGCAGCGTCTCGGCGGAGCCACTAGTCGAGTAGCTTGAATGTCGCTCTAACTTGCTTACATCTTCCAAACCTTTTTCTGGGGAACCGCTTGCACTGCTATCAGAGATCTTCCTCTGGGAGCAAGTCTCGAGTAGGGCTCGAAACTTGTCGTCAGAAGCGTTGACATCGATTGCCTGCAAGTGAGATGAGGCAGCTAGCAAGCGGTTTTGGTCAGAAATGACACGCTGGTCATGTAATTTATGGATTGCTTTCAAGACGGCCTCTCTTGCTTGCATAACTGCAACAGAATCGCAGTCAGGGTGCCCTGCATCAGTTTTAAGTAGGGGTTGGAATATGAGATTTACTTTCGCTTCTGAAACGCGCTCCGGTTTGTTCATGAAGATAATAAACACCGAAAGGCGAGCGTGAATGAGATTCAAGGACAAACGAGAGAGAGAGGGTAGATGCACCTGATGTGAACGGCACCCATCCCATATCTAAGTCTTCTCGGCATTTAAGGCAGAGCATAAACTTCTTCAAGGCATCAGCAACGGCGCTGTCATCACCGCCACACCACAGCACACGAAACTCCTTGGGATATAATTGAGCCATATCTCCGGCAGCACGTTGACGCACGATTCTCAAGAAGCCTTGCACCTTGTGCACTATCATTTCACGCTCAGCCGTCGTTCCATGAATCAGAAAATTTATATCCTGGTAAACTTCGTCATGGGCCTCGGAATGATGAGGTAAATTTGCAAAAAGAAAGGATCCTTCGTTAAGAACAGATTGAGCTGAAATCCTCATTACAGGAGCTGCGTTTTCACTGGTCGAATAGTCGAGAATTGTCTTCCGTAGAAGACCTGAGATGGGGTCAGATAAAATACTGCTGTTATCCAAGTAATAGAGGTAAACAAGCTTGAACATCCGTACTATCAAGGGACAAGATGGAGGGTCGCTGACGCGCAGGCTCCGATGCAACAACACTGCGCGTGAAATTCTCTTCTGCTCTGCATCCGAGTGTGACCAAGGTCTGGGTGGGATGTCTACGATGGAATCCAGCTTCAATGTGTGCAGCAGTGGAGACCAATGCCAAACAGCCAGTTCCTTGTGAGCATGTTCCCTAGCATCAAAGTCATCAAGCCTGTCCTTCACATACTTTTCCCTACGTACGCGAAGCTCCTTCTCGGCTGCAATCTTCTGTTCCTCATATTGTTCGCAGTCTTTCCGATACTGCAGAAAAGCTTGCAGTGCTTGTTTCTCATTGTGTCGCCCAACTAGATCTGGGCGACCTATAACTAACTTGAATCTGCGCATTGTCAGCTTCACAGCGTTTTGTTCCTCTTCATCTGCATCAGCCTGTGAAATACTAATGTAATTAGCCAGTCTAAAAGAAAAGGGCAGCACAACAAACTCAGGTTGTGCTGCGTTGTTAAACGTACACTCGTCAGTTGAAGGAATTCAAATATAGTGACTGATGGATCCCTGCACATACCTCTCTCTCCATATACCATGTACCGTACGACCTTGGCAAGGCGGGGTCGATTAGCCCTTTATCCACGAAGTCAAAAAAGGCCTGAAGGAAGGAATCATCCGTCACATCAGGGAAGTCACTTGGTAGCAACTGGAATTGCATCAAGTGCCAAAGACCGGGACATGCCACCGCTTCGGGGCGTGAAACCACGTAGGCATCTCGAAGCATATTAATAGCAACTTCCCACGCCTGGGCTTCGACCTGTTCCCTGGTCAACTGCATCTGCACCTGCATCTCTCCTTGCCCCACAGTTAGGGTGTCACCGCTGTTGGGGTTGTCCACCACTTGCTCGTGGTGTCCATATGAAATCTGCATTTCACTATCTTTCGAACTCATATGTTTCTTGTTGGCCTCATGAGAAGAAGAGGAAGAAAGCATACCCCGCACTTTCAGTTTCTGAGGCCGAAGGGGTGCATGCTCTCCCTCTGCTACCTGACCTGTAGTTTCTACTTCCATACTTGTCACCGACTCCTTCAGAGCTGCGGCTGATTTCTTCCTCTTGGCCCTAGAGGGTTTCTTTCGTGGGTTCATGAGACCATGTTTGATGAGGATGTCCTCAATTTCACCCCGTTGTCCTTTTCCAAAAACAGGGTAAATCTTGAGGGCTGTCTTCTTGCCATCGCCAGTTACAGCAAAACAACCTTCAAGCCTGTGAAGGTTCAACTTATTTTTGTCCTTGAACACAGTTTTGCAGTATATGCAGAAGAAGGGCTTCCGTCTGGAACCATTGAGTTCTTTAGCCCTTGCGAGGTGGTGGCATTCACAAGTCAAATTTTCGTACTCGTCTGTGTCATATTCTTCCGTATACACGCGTTTGTTCTCCTCCATCCGAGTGTACTTCACCATTTTCACTCATTCGCTATGCTTACAGAAGCTGCACAAATAGAGACGAAACAAAATCATTGCAATGCACAAGCAGGTCTTCACTTCATCAAGGTGACATAAATCTAGAACGCCTCAATAACAGAAGCCTCTCAACGATCTAACAACATTCGTAAGCCTAACAAATTTAAAAATTGATCAACTTCTCCTTCCTCACCTGGCTGCCCAACTTCACAAAGGTGTTGAAAATAAGCTAACATCAACTGCTCTTTAAACCTCCAAATTTTGCGCACAGCCCTGTTCTCACAACAGTAATCACACTCCTTGTAACCATGCCAAGCGATATTTTCTGAACAATCAGAAAGACAGGGCGGAGGAAAATGCTCTTTCAAAGGTTGTTGCGTTTGAGTTTGTTGAGCTTCCCTCCACCACCTAACCTCCTTACGGACAATGGAAGAGGGAGGGCACTGCACAGCCCTACTGAAGTTTAGCCCCTGATAACAAAAGGGTACAAACTGGGAGAGACGCACACACAACATCTCAACGACCAAAAGCTTCCAGGCACATCCTGGAGAAGCCCAAAACCTAAGACTCTGAATTTGATAAATTGGGAACCCCAAATCCAAGCTACTTGAAATATATAGTCTACGCCATATTTAGGCATACAAACATACGTGTCCTTTTAACTAGTGCCCTATTAAAGGGAAAGCACAACACAACTAAGCTCGATTATGTTGCGCTCTCCACTCCTTCCAGTGCCTGCGCAAACACCAATGCACCATGAAATAGTTGCTTGGAGCTTCTTCGACTTGCGGATGATATTTCGCAAGGTAGCGATGATGCAACTACATGTGTGAAAATTATATGTGTACTGCGAGTGAAGGAATTACGCATCCCCTTCCTTGTAGTCTTTCACGGTGGTGATCGAGGCTCCAACCTATTACGAACTCTGTCGCTACCGAACAAACCATTCAGAATGACCATAAGCCAATGCATTTTCATCCCTTTTCAAGAGTTTAAGGCAAACCTGTACAGAGGTATCCATCCTTGAACTCATTCTGTTGAACTTTGCCTCGTCCGGCTCTCCCAAGAAATATAATCTCTCGCTTTCCATTGAATCGTTTTCGAACCCTGCTTCTTGCACTCCGTTACAAGCTTCGAACATGCATCACATGAGCTCACCATAGCTTTTTACACATCACAGCAGCTCCAGATTCCAGGGCCGCCTACATGCTGGAAAACCTGACAAAATCATTCGGCAGTCACAAGAATGCCACGTTAAAGAGGATAGAAGAGCTATTCGTTAGATAGTATTAAGATCATAACGAATGACAGACAACAAAAGCTACGTCATAATTATAGTCTTTGAATTAAAAAAATCCTTCCTGACTGAATCTTAAAGAAGTGCGTTCCATTTTAAAACCTACAAAATGTGAAAGATTCTTGGAACAGCAGCAACAATAGCAAAACCCTTTCCCTTCCCTTCCCTTCCCTGACTCTAGGTGATTGTGAAAAAAGAATTCTAGCCAACGGAACGAGGCAGGTAATGATTTTTCTAGAACATAATTACTGAACCATCGCATTAAATCCCAAAAAATTCTATAAGGCAGACACTCGAACATGGTGCGACCTGGCCTTCATAACCCTTAATTGGCCACGCTCAATGTAAGCTTAATATTTCCGCAGGCAATAGGAGGAGACATCCAACTAACCAAGCATCTGGACTGCGTTGAGAACACAAAGAAAAAATTTCGCAAGAAAGCTCTAAAACAAGCGACAAAAGAACTCTGGCAATGTCCCTGAAAACCAACATCAAACACAAACAATCAACGCCGAAGTGAAGAAACTCCGCTGGAGAGATAACTATCCGTCGACCTCATTATCCGGCACAGAACACAATCTCGTCCAACTCTCGCGTCACGGAGCAAGCTCACACTCACTCACCGCCATCCTCCAGTTCCATTCCGCTCGAAAGCCAAGCCAATCCAACCCAAACCTGGCATTTCCAGCAAACCTAATTCGAGAATGGCACCAAAGAGGCAAGGGAGGGGGCATTATCACCTTGAGCTGAAACGTTGCGACTGGCTGCAGAGCTGCAACAACAACGCATTCCTCATGCGACGGGCAATCCCGCAAAGCAACCATCATCTGGGGTGTGCTCCTCCGCCATCGCCTGCTCAAGCAATGGCCTCACTCAAGGGGGGGCCTGTTCTAGCCTCTCAATCTCGCTCTCTACCTCTCTTCAGGGCCGAAGCTCTTCAGGCGGAAACACAACGAAACCCGCCAACATCCGTCGAAGCAAAAGCCTAGATTCCTTGCGAAAGGCGCGACGCTCGTCCTCCCGCGCCTTCGAAGAGCGACAAGCGCACACTTTTTCGTCGACTTTTATATGAATATGATAACGAAATCCAAAAAGGTGGGGAAACGGATGAGGATCCCCAACTGAATGAGAACTTCGCATAGTCCCTGTACACCTCTGCCTCTCCGGCCTATACCCGTCCCTCTTTTCGGTAAGACGGGTATGAGAGGGTATTGGAGGGTATTGGAGGGTATGAGCGGGTAGTAGTGATTCTGGCTTCATGTTTTCTGGAAGCAAGTGTCAATGAGATATTTTGGTCTTCTGTGGATTTGACTTGTCTTGCTGGTGAATGTTGGGATTGATTCGGCGGAAGACATGAAGACGAAGTGACTTAGTGACTTGATTCTTGATTGAGCGACGTCATCGGGTTCTCCACGATGAAGGTGAGAGAAAGCGCTTTTTCATTCTTTCGCTCTAATTTTGGGAGCTTTTCTTGCCAGCGATGGCGTTTGCGTTGTAAAATTGATCAAGGATGAAAACGCCGCAAAGACAGGGGAGTGGTGGTGGCTGCGGGAGATTTCGCAGGAGTAGTTACCTACAGAACCTCACATCACAGCTCTCATTCTATTTATGGTGCACCGAAGTTCTCATAGGATTGTCATTGCGGTTTGAGATGTAGTATCATGTTGAGGAATTAACTTTTTGCAGCACGATCCAGCTTCTTTTTCTCTTTCAACCTAGTCGCTTCTATTTCGGGCAATCGCGTGTAAGTAAAATTCGATTGGCTCCCGGTCAGAAGTGAGAGAACCTATGTTTGCTGAATCTGCACGTACGTATATTGATTGTCGTGAAGTTGAGATTTGACTTGTCAGCCTCGTCAGATTTCCACAAGCTTAAGCAGAAAGACATCGTAGTCGACTAAGTGCTTTACGATGTGACGAAAGGGAATGTAAGAAGAATCTAAGCGTCTTGAATCGCTGTGGGTCAATTGCGTCATTCGTACGATGCTCGTGAGTAACCCCATTATCATATTCAGAATCATCGATTTCTAAAAAATCTTGGAAGAATTAATAGATTAAAATTATTAATAGCTATAGTAAGAATGTAAATAAAAAAGTCCCTACACGTCACAGTGTCACTTATCATCCAACCTAGCACTACAGTACATCCGATACATGTAAGCCAAAATGAGAATGAAGTACAAAGATAAAAATAATAAAATAAAAAAATAAAAAAACTAAACATACACGCTAAAAATAAAATCGAGACAGAGAGTCATTAAAATAGAACAATAAAAAATGACATATACTTTAATTCAAAAGAGACTCGAGTGCCACTGACGAATCCTTTCAACGAAGTGCAATATTAGGTTTTGCACTGAAAACAAACATGCAGTAGATTTACTCTACTCATATCAACGTTAAATCCATGCAAACACACAATGATTAAACATTCCGTTGGGAAATTTCCTAACCTGAAGTTTGAGTATCTCAGTCCATGAAATCCCTTGAGAACAGGGACGGTGTGTCTGTTCTGCGGAAGAGATCACTGTGTAGAATTAGGTGATCGTTATCCATGCTTTCTTGTTCGGTCATCAACTCATTTCTATTTTAGAGATTGATTGAACATGCAGTAAATGACTCCTTATTCCCCCTGATTGGTACGACTTCAGTCATATTTATAAGGTTCAAAATATCTTAAATCAATATTGATTCTATTTAATTTGTGAAAAAAATTCTAAACTATAAATTAAAACTCTTTTTGATGGAAGAAATTTATATATGTAAGTATATCATCTGTAAGAATAATTATATCAATATTCTTTTATTAAAATGGTGGAAATTTACATGATTTATTTCTTTATAAATTAAAGAGTATAACTAGCATTATACATATACCATAAAATATAGTGCAAAATTATTTATCTTTTATTATATATATATATATATTAATTGATCAATTATTATTTTGAAACCAAATTTTAAAAAAATCAAACTAAGATTTTAAAATATTTTTCAACACAAGAATTACTTATTAGAATTAAAATTATATATACATATAAAGTGCTACCAAAAATGTACTTATAAGAACATTATTATTAATATAAAGGTTGAAAAAAAACAATGTTTTGAATGTATATAATAGTAAAAATCAAGGCTTACATTAAAACCACAATCCTACATTCAATGTTGTAGAAAGATGAGTTTTTCAGCTTGGAATAGAACTAACTGTAAATATTTAATAAAACATATTTATACAAACTAAATATGCTATAATCTTAGGACTATATATATATATATATATATATATATATTAAATATAAAAAATTATATCATATATGATAAATATATTATTATGCTTATTATAATTGATGTAATATACTAATTAAAATAAAAACATATTATATATATATATATATATATATATATATATATACATATAATTACAAAAAAAACAATTCTCTTATTACATCTTAAAAAACTAATTCTTGACGTTGATTGATTTGAAGTGGCTTTGTAAGTACACTTGCAATTATAAAGTTTAGAGAAAGAGAGAATTAAAACTATATTTGAAATGATATAATTTATTCTAAAAAAGTTTCTGTTGAAAATATCATTTAAAATATATGCAAGAAATGTAGATTTCTGTTTCATATAATCAAAGAACAAAATCAATATATAATATTCAAATTTTAAAAAATAAAGGTCCAATTCTAAAACTTTTATTATCATATTGCTATTTTTAAACATACTCATTTTCTAGTACTTGAAAATTCATAAAATCAAAATTTAGATCATGTTTATTTACACAAGTTCTTAGAAATAAATTAACACCACACAAACACACACACATTTATGTATATATATATATATATATATATATATGTTAGGAAACATATTTTTTTAATAATAAATCATGGTATAATACCTTATTCATAGTTAAAATTGACACATGCCCAATGATTCTGTTATAAGTAGCATAAAATTAGTCTATTTTATTTACAAGTGTAAAATGAATGTTGCATACTATTTATTTGTACATATATTAAAACACACACACAAGGGATATAAAAGAAAATAATCATTTTATTGAAAAGAAAATACTTGAATTTTAATTTTTTCAACACATAAAAAATGATCTTCGAAATTTTTAATTGCTCAAACGATGATTTTAATTTTAATCTAAAAAACTGTAGGACGCTTTAAAGAGAGGGAACGTGGTTGTCTTTTATTGACATCAACTTTACGCATGTGCAGCAAATTGCCCCAAAACAAACACTAAGAAACAATACACTATGAATAAATATAGCCAAATTGAATATAGATTTGTATGAAGAGATGAAAAGTGGAGTTGAACTCGACACTGATCGTCTTTGCTTGTAACGCCAGATTGGAAAACTTGGCTCTATTATCAAAAAGCACCTTCTAGGCAGCCTTTTTCCCTGCAGCAGTTAAAGGAAGACATCGTCAGACCTTGCAGTAAATAGAAATGAGTTGATGAAATGAGTTGAAAAAGAAAATGTATGACAAACAGATGTTGGAAATGAAAATGTATTACAGATGAAAATTAAGCTCGTCAAAGCAATACAGAGTGGATAAGATAGTCCGTAATTAACAAAAGGGCGTCAGAAGGGTGCCAAGTAAAGATTTCCTGTAAAGCTCTGCCAACAAATCCTTATCATTGATGTGAGCAAGAAGCTTGACCACTTGCACTCTTCCATTTAAAGCTGATTACATGAGTGCAAGAGAAAACATACTTCTACAATGAAGTTGGGGTGATCCAATGAAGAGAGAGAGAAGGATCACCCCAACTCGAACCAAGAGTAACAATGCAGGAGGTCGTTGGGCTCCTGGAGGATCAAACCCTTGTTGATTAGCGTAGAGATGAGTTCCGAAGATTAAACATGAGTTGTATGTCCGTCTGTCTGTATCTTACAAACCAATTCCTGTTCATGTGTTTCTTCAGTTGTTTAGTCACCCATCTTTTTTACTTCCACCTTTGTTCAGTAAATTGTTCCACTTTTGCATCCTGCAACTTTCTTGTTGCAGCAGACTTCAAAAGCCACTTTCAAGGTCTGCATTCATAATCGAATGCAACACCAAACAACATGATTCAGAAATTTGGGTATGTTTCCAAAGGAAGCTCCAATGATTCTATAGAACATCATTGAAGCAAAAAACGGAGGGGTTTTGAGAAATTGAGATCTGAGCCTGAAGCCAAGGTCAATTTAAAAAAGTATTATTCACCTTGAGAGAAAGGGAATGATTGACAAAACACTCGTTGACATAATGTTGATACTTCTCATGAAACTGGATCAACTTTCGTTCAAAGGCCCGTGATGAAAAACTAGAGATGCATGAGAATCTCCAATTCATCAAACTCCACCACCAATGAAATGCATTGAAACCTCTTTCCAACTGCGGCAGCACCTTTCAAAGTGGTGGGTTTCACAATGCCATCCCTAAGAACTTCGAGATACGATATACAACCACAAAATTTACTACTTGTTATATACCACCGAGTCGTCGAATGAAGGAACCACACAAAACTAGACCTATCCTTCGATTTTTCTTTGGTCTTGTACTTCAATAGAATCTTTCTTGTCAGCCTGCACGAAGTCCAACAGACAACAAAAAATACAGGGAAAACCAGAGGACTGCATAATCAATTGCATGCTGCACAACAATTACAATACACTAGATAAAATATAAGCAGGAAAGATATTGCGAGTTCGACCTTTTTGTTAATGGCTGCATCTGCAGCCTTCTTCACAAGAGCAGTTCCATCGTCTGTAACATGTAGTTAAACAACAAATGTCTGACAACCCAGTTTTGAAAACAAACACAAGCATGTTGAGCATTTAGATGCCACATGGTCCTAAAAGTCACTTAACAATACATCGAACGTATTCCTTACGTTTTTGGAATTCCAAGGTGAATTTCGATGCCCACAATTTCCAATTCAATCGTAAGGTTTAGGTTGAACGATTATTATTCCATTCAGACAGAGATCATCAAATACAAGGCTGAAGGTTACATACCTGTTGAAAAGTAGCTGCCACAGCTTGCAAACCATTTAGAACTCTGCAAAATAGCCAATGCATCCGTAAAACACTGTCGAATATTGCTACTTGCATTTCAAGCAAAATACCTCCAAACCGTCCTGCATTAACGGCCTCTAACCTTCTCAACGAGTAATATCGATGCCCAGTACCAAATTCGCAGTGGAGTGGGAATAATGTTACAAGTTGAACATCTTGCAAGAAAAAAACATATTACCATGGTTAGGAGTATCATACCGAGTAGCGGTTACACATGAGATCTACTTTAGTCAAGGATAGAAGTGACCCCCTTGCAAGGGGGTGACGATCTAGGTAATTAAAAATCCGAGATAACCATCGAATCATAATCTTATGATTGACCCATCGGTTCACAAGCTCTTTCAATATGGACTCCTCATTCTCCTCTCTAAGAGGAGACAGCACCAAAATCATTCGGATCAACACAAAAAAAGATGCTAAGATCAGATCCAGGTCTTGTAAAACAGACCCTCGCTATGGAAAGAGTTCAGCAGAAACCCCTAGCAAGACCCGCGCATCCAACAACCACCAACAGCAAATAAATTCTAAGTGCAAATACAGACAACGGTTAAAAATGAGAGGGCCTTGAATCGATCGTAAGCTTTTTAAAAAATCGAAATTGTTGCTGTTCCACATTTCTCTAAATTCAAATAAACGCGATCAGAAAGAAAACCAAAAATTTAGCATGAGCACCTCAGAGTCTATGTACCCATCAATGAACTCCCCATATCTGTCAAAAAGTTGCAGAAAGCAATCTTGGAGAGGTTTCTAGATGCACACGCAGTAAATTGTCATGTGCAAGTAGTATTAGGGAAACACGCACACGCTGAAGCATTTTATATAAAGACACCACAGCTATGATTTCCATAAGTGGTATACCCCAGCCCAGCCCCAGGCCTCCAGGTTGGCCATCAGTTATGTTTCAACTATTCCGTGTATCCTCCTCATGCATTCATTTCTTGAGCAGGTTGATATGAGTTGCCTTCACTACTGACATCAAATTGCTCTCTCAACCTTGGATCCTCGACGCTGGAACCTCTTTAGTGCGCTACCCTCACATGTGAAACTCCAATCAAACAACCCAAACCCGCAGCAGCACCTCCATGAGCTGTACAAGCACTCTTTTCTTTCTCTCTCTCTCTCTCTCTCTCTCTCTCTCTCACTTTGTCAAGCTCGTTTGTCTAGCTCTTTCACGAGATTCCAAAACTACAAAATCAATCGAAGAGCTCCCCTTCCTTTCCTGGATACAATATTGCCTCGGGGCTCTATTGCTGCTGGTGGTGCAGATCGTCAGCAGGTCTCGATGCGCTCCATCGCCTCCTCGTCTGTGAGCGAGATGCGGCTCAGTGAGAAGGGTGTGACGTGGAGGGGTGGAGATGGTGTGCTGGAGTCCAAGTAGGATTTCCAGCTGGAACCTTCCACCTGGCGGACTTTGGGCCACGTAGGCAACCGAGGTTGTTTTGTGGCAGCCCTACCCTGTTCCGGGCTGTGTTTCCACTGTCCAAATGCATTGTTTGTCTTCTGGTTGTGTTGGTTAGAACTGCGTCATTGGATGATAGGAACTATCATAGTAGCTTATTGACACGTCCAAAGAGCTATATGCGGCCCTTGAACCAATGCAAGACACTTTGCAAACACACAATGGCACCAAGTTTATACCAATCTCAATGTAATCAATGACTCCTTTATTACTTAAGCAAAATAATCTACAATCATCTATACCATTTGAGTGCCTGCAGGGGTTGGTAAAACTAATTGCTCTTAAGGCCCAATTGCACATACTATCAATCACTAGAATAAAGAAAGAGTCTTGAAGTTTCTCCAATGGTTTTTTAAGTACCTAAAACTTTCTTAAGTACTGCTTAATATTCTACTATTGTTGTAGTACCACAGCTAGTTACCATAGTAGCTTTTACTAACGCAACTTTGTAAAATTTTCTATTGTTTTATAACTATGCTAATACACAATAATTCCTGATGGTCTAACTTTGCTTAAAAAACTTATTGATTACACCAATGGTACTAACATCTAATCCTTCTTGCAAGCTTGTATTCCATTTTTAGATGCATTACTTCTTTCATCAATTTGCAGAGGCATCTAATAGCCAAGTAACAAGGTCTTTGGATTTCATGAAGGTGATTGAATGTGCATCAAAGAGCAATTGGCCTCTATTCAATTTGGCTATGACTATAGCAATGACACTATACAAAGTGTTATTTTTGCCTTTGTCTATGGTTTTTAAAGCACATTTGCAAGCATCAAAGTTTTTTTTTTTTTTTTTTTTTTTTTTTTTAATAGCTTGTTGCATATCAAGTAATTGGTATCTTTTTTTGAATTCTTATATAAGTAGGCACAATCTATATTATTTAAAAATATACTAATATTACTTTATTAGCTTTTTCTTAATCATCAGCCATACTCTATTTATCAAGAAATTCTCCTCTTAAATCCTCTTCCAATTTCAATAATTATTTTTTGTGATAATAAAAAAAAATATATCTTACAACCAAGAAGCAATATTGTAGACTCAAACTACACTTTTGTATCATCTTTGTCTAAGTCTATCAAAGTAAATGAGATTTGAAAATACTCTGCTAGGTCAATAAGTTCTAAGTTAAGTCTTTGTAGACCAATGGTTTTTTTTGTGGATTTCTCAAATAACTCAGCTAATACTATGGTACTCTCATGCTTATATTATATTATTGCCGTATCTTCTAATTCTAAGCCATTATCTTTTTTTGGCAATCCTAAGATATTTACAACCTTTGTAATATACTATGATATAAATGACTCTTATTCTTCCTATTGAATATCAAGAATTTATTCTATGAGACAGATTGTATTGAGGAGAATGATGTGTATTGCCTTGTAAATCCAACTAGTACTATTTGCTTTAAAATTTTATTGAACTCCTTTTGTAGTGCAGAATTTTTATTCCAACCATCTAGTATCTTATTGTAATGCTTTGGTAGTCATTTCTTTCTTTTCTTTAAGGTAACGGAATTCACAATCTAAATTGGCATTTGAAGTGATGAATGTATCATTGCATTCCATGATTATCTTCTTGGTAGTTTTTAATATTGCAATCTATTAGTAGACAATATAAATAGCAACATGACAAGTTGTAATTATTGTTTGGATAGTTTCTAATACAATTTGAATGCCATTGAGAGATTCTTGTAATTTGAAGACCTACGTAGTTTTAAATGCTTATAGATTGTTATGTCTTGTATAACTATGCCATCAAAATTCTATCCAAAGAAATTATATAAGTAATAAAGAATATACTTCACTTTGATTCTTTTGATAATATTAATAAGATATTTACCATTGTTATTTCTCTATACTATTATGTTGATGAATTCATTATATAAATCAATGTATATGTGATTCTTGAGATGATTATAATAACATATCTAGTTAGTACTATTGGTCCAAATGTTATTACTTCTAGATCTCTATAGTAATAGCACCTTATAGATGTAAAAACAAAGATGTAACTTTGAACTAAGTGGTGCCATTGTTTCTCTTATTCTAAAATCACATATTATGAAAAAAATAAAGTAAAAGAATCTAAAGTCAAAAGAAAAATAATAGCATTGAGAAGAAAAAGTGTAGGAAAAAGAAGCAAGGATATAGTATTGACATTGATGGGGATAAGAATAAGTGAATTTAGACTTATTAACTGTATAAATATAATCTATTGATATTTGTACACAATCATATCAATGTGAATTGAATAGAAGATGGTCTAAATGTTATGTAGTATCTATCTTTTTTAAATTGGACAAGAATTAATTGATGTTTTAATTTGGAAATAAGATTCTTTAACATTTAAGTCTTATGAGTTATCTATGGCTTCAAAGATTTATTGTAATTGCATCAACATGGAGGAAGTACTTGATTCATCTATATAATAGTACTTTAATTTTGTTGCATTAAAATTGGTGGCATATTGATCATAGTACTTTTCATTAATAATGAGAATTATATTTATCATATAACACTAATTAGATGTAATAAAAACTATGCAAGATCGAATTAAATTTGTATGTACAAATTTTGAGGTTCCTTAGATACCATAAAACTAAATCGCCTTGAATCAAGATGCATCCTAATTTGATGGATTGATAATACTTATTTTTATTTTTTTGGCTTTTTATAATATTTTATTTTATTATATCATATAATTCATTAAAATGGTAAATATTTGGCAATCTAGCACTATTGTGGAGAGAGAATTTGCTTTAAAAAAGCACATGATTTTTGGCTGCTATTAATTGCTCTACTTTTCTATAAAACTTTCAAAAACATATGTAACATCCAATAAAATCCAAATTCTTTATAAATACCATTACTCTTCTCATTGTCAAAAAATTCATGTATTTAATGTTTGTAAAACTAGCACAAGAGAGAAAAATCATATAAGATAAAATTTTCTTATATTAATTAATTTCATTACTATATATAGTATTATCATTAAGAAAGATGAAAAAAAACTTCTTCAAAAAATGATCAAAACATTAATCCCAAAACTTGTTGGAAGATCATTGTAGTGTTTTTGGCTCCAAACTACATTCTTTCAAATTGAAAAGGTCCCCATTTTACTAAAAATATTATCTTATTCTTATAAACTTCAACCATCAAAACTTGATAGTATCTTAAGAATCAATCTAAAAAAGAATATATTTCATGTCCTCCTACTTCATTTCTAATTTCTTCCAAATAAAAAAAAGAACAAATATCTTCTATATTTTTTATTTTAAATATAAAAAATATTTTTTTATTAGTAAAATAACTCCATATGACCATTTTTTAATTGATATATCTTGTAGAATGATATAAGCCAATATTTCATTCAATACTATTGTGCCTAATATTTTCTTCAAAACATGTGATTGAATATGAAGATGTTCTTTGTTTTTGGCGATTAAAGTGGCTAAATAGATTTTATTTAGAAAAACTAGATTTTTTTCAATATAGAATAAGACCTTGTATCCAATCCATTCTAGTTAGGCGTCTAATATTCTCTATTTTAACTTCGATAATATAATTATCTATAAAAATTATTATGCACTTATTTTTTTATTTAATATTAAATCATTTTTATTCCAATCATAATTGGCACTCATATCACACAACTAAGGTCTCTCTAAAATGATAAAAAAAACAACTATTGATTAATATTTTAATGATTATCAAGGTAATTAGAGTTAATACATTATGTATAAAAATTGGTACATTATTAAGAATACCTAAGGAAGTTATTAGTGAGTCATTAGCCATACGTAATACGAAAGATGTTGTTTTTGGATTTAGAAGTTAGAGATATTGGCAAATATTATTAGTCATAATATTGACTTCAAAACCTCCATTGACTAAGATATTAATTAATTCATGATGATCTAACTAAATATGAATTGTAGTAACATTCATATCAATAATTTTTAGAGTTGTAGTAATTGGTTTGCATAAGTATTGTGGATATATTTGGAATTCTACATTGAGTTTTAATTGTTTGTCAAATGTGATGGAGACTTTTATTGTCTCTAAGATTTTGTTTCATTTATGTAGTGTCTACTTCTATTGTTTCTAATTATTTATATAACATTATTCTAAGGTTATAAAGGTACTTTCAATGTTGCAAAAAAAATGATTTTTGTAGTTCTACAAGATAGTCTATTGTATTTTCTAAGTCCTAATCTTTTTTTAAAGGAGTGATGGCCAAAAAAATTATTAAAATTATTGTGCTTACATAATTTAATTCAAAAATCATATTACCATCTCGGCAATCTTAATTTCTTGCCAAAGTTGATATCTATTGTAATTTATATATAGAATAATATTTACAATAGTATTGTATAAATCCATAGTTTTAATATCTATTATTTGTCCATGGCTATTGATTTGTTTGAAATGTGTCACAATAGATTTCAACTAATTGAAGCACCACCACTTATTTTGTGTCATTTCTAAGAAGTTATTATTTGTATTTTGAAGATTCTATCTATATGGCATGAGATGAAAATAATTATAAATATTACACATTGAGAGTTAAAGTAATGATCTTAGTGGTGGCATATTAAAATTAATGACATTGCTTGGTTCTCTAAAAATATTTGTAGTTGCATCCATTATTTTACATAGTATGGTAACTTGTATGCAAATCAATTATTTTTAAAAAAAGTATGGAATCCATCTTCAAATTAATTAAAAAGTACTAAATCATTGATTGGTATTTCTAATTTATTGGATATTTTTTAAAATTGATTATAAAAGATATCCATTGCTTTATTTGATTTTTGTCTAATAATACCTAAGACTCATAATAC